AGGGTGGGCAGGCCCTGGCCCAGGTTTTTCCATGGATTTGCCATCCCTGGAAGTGTCCCAGGCCGGGTTGGATGGCACCAAGTCCATGGAATTGCAGGAGAAGGAGGGGGAAAATTGAGAGAAAAGGGATTCTAAGTTTAGGGGGGGAAAAATCAGAATATTCCCGGCAGATTTTCAAGGATTTGGGGGAAAACCTTCCCCATTTTCTTCCTTCCTTCCTTCCTCTTCCTTCCTCTTCCTTCCTTCTTCTTTCCAAGGAATACCAGTGAATAGAAATCAATGGATGGAAATCAAGGGATAAAATCAATGGATAAAAATGGATATTTCCTATTTATTTTGATGCCATTTTCGTTTTTTTTCCAGCATTATCCCGTTTTTATCCCTCCCCTCCCATTCCCAGCATTCCCAAACTAAACCCTCTCCCATTTTTATCCCTCTCCTAGCATTCCCAACATTCCCAATCTAACCCCTCTCCCGTTTTTATCCCTCCCCCCTCCATTCCCAACGTTCCCAGACTAAATCCTCTCCCGTTTTTATCCCTCTCCCTCCATTCCCAGCATTCCCAGACTAAATCCTCTCCCGTTTTTATCCCTCCCCCTCCATTCCCAGACTAATCCTTCTCCCGTTTCCCTCCTTCCCAAGGATGCTCCAGGAGCTGCTGCAGCATTCCCAGTGTTCCCAGACTAAATCCTCTCCCGTTTTTATCCCTCCCCCCCATTCCCAGCATTCCCAGACTAAATCCCCTCCCGTTTTTATCCTCCCCCTCCATTCCCAGACTAAATCCTCTCCCGTTTCCCTCCTTCCCGAGGATGCTCCAGGAGCCTCCCCACTCCATTCCCAGCATTCCCAGATTAAATCCTCTCCCGTTTTTATCCCTCCCTCCCGAGGATGCTCCAGGAGCCTCCCCCCTCCATTCCCAGCGTTCCCAAACTAAACCCTCTCCCGTTTTTATCCCTCCCCCAGCATTCCCAGCGTTCCCAGACTAAATCCTCTCCTGTTTTTATCCCTCCCTCCCGAGGATTCTCCGGGAGCTGCCGCAGCATTCCCAGTGTTCCCAGACTAAACCCTCTCCCATTTTTATCCCTCCCCCCATTCCCAGACTAAATCCCCTCCCGTTTCCCTCCTTCCCGAGGATGCTCCAGGAGCCTCCCCCCCATTCCCAGCATTCCCAGACTACATCCTCTCCCGTTTTTATCCTCCCCCTCTATTCCCAGACTAAATCCTCTCCCGTTTTTATCCCTCCCGAGGATGCTCCAGGAGCCTCCCCCCCATTCCCAGCGTTCCCAGACTAAATTCTCTCCTGTTTTTATCCCTCCCTCCCGAGGATGCTCCGGGAGCTGCCGCAGCATTCCCAGCGTTCCCAGACTAAACCCTCTCCCATTTTTATCCCTCCCCCCATTCCCAGACTAAATCCCCTCCCGTTTCCCTCCTTCCCGAGGATGCTCCGGGCGCTGCTGCCGCTCCAGGATTTCGCTCTTCCCTGGGAGCTGATGCCGGCACAGGGACGGGATGATGGGATGACGGGATGCAGGCACAGGGATACAGGGATGCAGTCACAGGGATGCAGGAGCCGCATCCAGGTTTTTGCTGCATCCCTGCCCGGCCGTGGCTCATTCCCGGGATTATCCCGGCGGGAGGGGGGGGGGTCGGAGGGACCCCCGGGGGGGGGGGTTTTGTGCCGGAGCCGCCGCTCGGCTCCCGGTGAGGTCTCTGTGGCGCAATGGACGAGCGCGCTGGACTTCTAATCCAGAGGTTCCGGGTTCGAGTCCCGGCAGAGATGATCTCCAGGCAGGTGTCCCTTTTATTTTACTGCCCAGCCCCTCGGAATTCCCAAAGGATTCCATGGAGAAACGATCCCGGTGGAAAAATAACGGATTAATAATGGATTTTGGCAGCACAGCTGATGCTCGGGAGGGTTTCGTGCTTCCCCTTTTCCAGGAGAAGCCAGGTGGAAGGAATTGGTTCAGGATGTTTTTTCCAGGAGAAACCAGAGGGAGAGAAGGGGTCCAGGACTCTCTTCCAGGAGTTTTCCAGGAGGATCCAGAGAGAGGGAAGGGGTTCAGGATATTTTTCCAGGAGTTTTCCAGGAGGATCCAGGTGGAAGGAATTGGTTCGGGACCTTTTTCCAGGAGGATCCAGGAGGAGGGAAGGGGTTCAGGACCTTCTTCCAATAGAATCCAGGAGGATCCAGAGGGAGGGAAGGGATTCAGGACCTTCTTCCAGGAGGATCTAGGGGGAGGGAAGGGGAACAAGACCTTCTTCCAGGAGTTTTCCAGGAGGATCCAGAGGGAGGGAAGGGGTCCAGGCCCCTCTGGAGTTGTTTCCTGCTGGACTTCTAATCCAGAGGTTCCGGGTTCGAGTCCCGGCAGAGATGATCTCCAGGCAGGTGTCCCTTTTCTTTTACTGCCCATTCCCTCGGAATTCCCAAAAGGTTCCAATCCTGGGGAAAAAACGAGGGATTTTTGGGTCACGGCTGATGCTCGGGAGGGTTTTGTGCTTCCCCTTTTCCAG